AGCATTTTTTCGGAGATCGTCTATATTACCAGTAATCAGTAAGATACTTCTAATGTTACTTTTAACTAGTAATGTCATGTATATTTATGTTATTAGCTTGTTTATTCGGATTAGAATTTTTAAATTTATTATTGTTAGACTGTATTATATGGTTTATGACTGAAAACGGATTGGTTTTTCGATTTTAAAATATTATCCATGATTTCGTATGGTTAAGGAAATATTTTAAAGTTAGAAATAAGGATGTTTCAAAAGAAACAAAATTTTTAATCAATCAGTAAATTTTTGTCGAATTGATGTGACATCTTTAATTAGTATAACACCTCAAAACCTGAAGTGTCATATTATCTTATCTTTTCTGGGTCAGATAAAATGCTGTAAGAATATGCAACTTCCTTAAAACACTCAGAAGCCTCAGGATTACTGGCATTCTTGTCAGGATGATACCTGCCTAAAGAACCAAAAATACAAATATAAGGAAATTCTGGAAAATGTTAAGCCAAACACGAAAGCATCTGATTTTAGCGTTGAACTTAATAACTCATTCATAGTTCTTGTAGGTCAGAGCCATAGATTTATCATTTATAAATGGATAAGAATACTTCAATACGATCCTGTTTGTAAGGTTACATCCACATTTTAAATTCTATTAATTGATTTGTTAATTAGCTGCTGTATGGGGGCAATTATTATAACGTAAACAGCGCATGCATGAAATGTTTGCAATAATAACTGAAAAATCACAGGAGGCAATCAACTTGTAAATGAAAACAATATAAATTGCCCACTGAACTCAATGAGATGAGGAACTGGGACGGTAGAAGAAAGAATTGCTGGAAGCATAGCAACACACATTTGTTCCTCTAACAATCTGTCTCAAGTACATTCTCATTGTCAGCTATTCTACGAAAGAGCCAACCAAGAGGAAAGATCACATCATTGAGCGATAATGCAGTTTGCAAAATTTCCCCCACTAAGCCATTAGCCTCATTGAGCTATAATGCATTTTGCAATTAAAACTTAAGTGCAAAATTTTTTGTAATTCTAAACTTACGATTTGATCAAAATTTACTCTAATATTAAAGCGACAGACAACTTCGTAAAAAAGCCACAAAAATTCAATAAGAAGAGCAACAAGAAAACGAAATCCTTACTTGAGAGCTAGTTTTCTATAGGCAGTTTTAATCTCCTGGTCAGTGGAATCCCTTGCAACGCACAAAACTTCGTAAGGGTCACGACGGACAGCCGGAGCCATTTTTCTCATCGGTTATCGGAAACACCCTTTTCTAAAGCTCACTTCTGATATGCCAGAATTACAGGTGTAAATCTACGGATTCAAAAACAGAAACAAAAAGAAAAGGCAATAAAATGTCAGCATTTTTCAAAGAGGGAAAAAGGGATTACACGGAATTCAGCACTGAATTGGATCTCTCCATCTCATTTTCTAGAGAAAAGGCAAAGGCAAAGAAACATTAACAAATGACAAAAGTAAATCGAAAGAGAGAAAGTAGGGATCCAGCTTACAAGGAACGAATAAGCTAGGGTTTTAAACTTTTCGAATTTACAGAAGGATAAAAATAAAGAGAGTGAGATGACCTGAGAAATGTTCGATCCACTCTTGTATCTGATTTAAGACAGTTTAAAGCCAGCTCCCCACTCTACGTCTCTCGAGTCCTTTGACATGGTCTATGTAACCAAAACAACAGAACATAATAGCAGTGAGAGGAAAATTATGTGAAAATTATATTTTGAAAAATGGTTAATTTTAACAATAGGTGCTCAAACTCTGAGCTGAGATTTAAATTGAATTACACGAAAGGACAACGATAAATCTACATGTGGATTATGATCTCTGGGACCTTCCTTCCGCGCTTCTCAACCCTCAAAATGATCATTACCAAGTCTGGGATCGTTATCCATGGCGCCCAGTCATCTCAGAACATTTATTTAACTAAATTTGATGCCCAACTTGCTCTTAATCAGGTAATATTTCTCCATTTTAAATAAGTAATTTCATATTTCGAATTTCTGTGATCTAATGGAGGTTAATTGGTTCCTTTTTAGGTGCAGGGAAAATTGGGTTTACGGGTGAGTGATGCAGGGGATCTGAGTTTGTTTAAGTACGTCGAGGAAGCTGAGTTTGGACCTGGGTTTCCAGTTAATACTGTGTTTGTTATGGGAAAATTGTTTGATGCAAATCAAACTTCTAAGGTACGTTTATATTACTCGTGCTTCGAGCTAAATATAGTCGCTTTACATTTTTATGGACTAATTCTTCCAGAGCCTATGTGCTGAAGATTTTTAATTCTAACTTGACCTGGGAAGAGATTCAGGAGCAGATATGTAGATGATTGTTTCGGATTTCCAGGTTTCAGCAACATTTCAAATGCATTAGAAGGTGCTTGTTTGTTAAAGCCGTAAAATTGATCAACTTAGGGGATTGCCAAAACAGGGCATGCTTTATCTTCAACGCTTACCAAAAAGTCGTTAGAATGCTATTGTTCAAATTCAACGGGTTATTATTATTTTGTTTATCTTGTCACCAGAATATGAATATGAAAAATCGGTTGGCAAAGAAACTTTTATTTGAAGTGTTGGTTTTAAGATTGCAAAATTTTAAGCCTCTGATTTCCAGTTGATTAGAAGAGTTTTAAGGCTTGCTTTCATAGGCACATACTTAGTTTTCAACTTATAATACTTAATCAAAGTATGCAATATTGGAACTATTTTTAGAAAAAGAAAGAAAACTAATTAAGCTTATGGATTTGTTATATCAAAACAAAGATCAATTCAAAGCATCTGGCGAAGCACCTCCTGCTTCTTCCATTGATACTATCACTAGTGGTACATAGTCATCCTCTTTTGTTTCTGCCAACACCCCAGCGAGCCTCAAATTTATCGTATTGTTGCATACATATATGGACGACTGCTTCTCTTCCGTGGATGCTCGTTTAGTTATATTTTGGATCTTATGAATTTCACTTGTTTTATACTGATATTCTCCCAATTATATTTTCAAATAGTAATATTATGCTTCACTTGCTTTTTGATATGCCAAAAACGGGGTGAATAAAAGAAATTTTGCATTTGCCCATATTGTCTATGTATTGATATGCAACACTTACTTGGAATTGGCGTGCTTATATGCTTTCTTACAGTGGCTTTTCGTGGAATTCATATTGTTTTGCATTTTAAGCCTTTATGGTCTCTTTCGATGCTTCTTTGTTTTTGGAGTCTTTTTGATATGCTTCACTTGCTCTTTGATATGCCAAAAACGGGGTGAATAAAAGAAATTTTGCATTTGCTCATATTGTCTATGTATTGATATGCAACACTTTATAAATTGATCATGCAAGTGTGCTTATTATCGTATAATCGATGCTAAGGTGCTTATTCTGTATGCATTGGCAAGGACAGCTTTTTATAGGACTTGTCTGTCTGTTACCTACTGGGAATTGGCGTGCTTCTATGTTTTCTTACAGTGGCTTTTCGTGGAATTCATATTGTTTTGCATTTTAAGCCTTTATGGTCCCTTCGATGCTTCTTTGTTTTTGGAGTCTTTTTTATATGCTTCACTTGTTCTTTGATATGCCAAAAACTGGGTGAATAAAAGAAATTTTGCATTTGCTCATATTGTCTATGTATTGATATTCAACACTTAATAAATTGATCGTGCAAGTGTGTTTATTATCGTATAATCGATGCTAAGGTGCTTATTGTGTATGCATTGGCAAGGACAGGTTTTTATAGGAATTGTCTCTGTTGCCTAGTGGGAATTAGCGTGCTTTTATGCTTTATTACAGTGGCATTTCGTGGATTCATATTGTTTTGCATTTTAAGCCTTTATGGTCTCTTTTGATGCTTCTTTGTTTTTGGAGTCTTTTTATCAAGAACAATTATCATCAATAAATTTCTTTTGCTCAGTGGAGAGGAAAAAAATCAAGCATGAATCTTGAATGCTGGTTACTTACTTTTACATATGAGCTTGATGGGCATGAAACTTGAATTTTGAATGAAGTTAATTTTAATGAACTTCTAGATTCATACCTAGCTTATATTTTTCCGTTTAATAGGATTGATGACTGATGTGAATGAACAATATGCCTTGTAATTTTTATTAGATCAATGAATCTCTTCTTGGAAGTATGCTTTAAATGTTTTCTCATGTATGATTATGAGGTTAATAAGTCACTTCCTATGACGAGGTCCAAAAAGATGCTAACTCTTCTATTTATGAATTTTAGGTGGTGCTTACTATTTATTCAAAAATGATGTATTTGGAACAAATTTCCATGTTATCTCATGGTGCTATACAATCAACTTGGGGCGGATTAACGTGTAGCTTACTAGAGTTGATTAACCCACTTGATCCATCAGATCATCACGTAAACCCACTTAATACGAAGTCTAGATCCACCACTGCAATCAAACGAGGTTATTCATTACCATTTCCATGTCAACTGAGATTATTTCTTCTGAAATAACATGCTCTTAGTTTAATATTTATGGTTCAAATTTCTTTTCTGGATGCATGATATAGGTCCATTCGCCTTGCTGTCATGAGTAGTCTATACTTGGTACTGATTTTACGGTTTTCTTCAGGTCTTTCTGTCATCCAAAAATGCAATCCTAATGCTGCACTGCTCGCACATGAAAATACTGTGTTGCATCGGAGAAGGTCAGAAATGGTGTTTACGTTCGAACGTTTATCATTTTGTCTCAATAGCCTAGCACGATGGAATTGCAAACAACAGAGAAGCAAGTATTTTGAAAGCCATGGAAAATGGAGCAGAAACAGTGTTTGGCTTGCTAATGTGTATTCCAGGTTTGACCACCGTTTCTGGATTGCTGCTGCATCAAATTTCAGGCTACATGTGGATCATCTAGATCAGCAAAAGAAGTTTCCACAGGTATTTTTTTTATCAGATTTTAGGATAAATTCTTTTGTGCTAAAGATTAAGATAACCCCAATATCATGAATAAACTCAGAGCAAGGAAAATGAAAAGAAAAAAGAGATTTTTTTATTGGAAATAGAGTGGACAAATTGTTACACAAAAATCAAGCTTTTTTCTCCTTGGTTGATGCTGGTGAAGGAGAAAGCAAGAATCTGAAAACCCAAGCAGCCAAAGTTGCCCCTGTCAAAGGACCTAACCAGTAAACATAATAAAGTTGCCACGAATTGTGCCAATTGTTGACATATGCCCACCCAAATGCATTGGCAGGGTTCAGGGATGGTCCAGTGTACTTAGCCCCTTTCCCTACACATCCCACAGTTGTGGCCGCCATTAACAAGAGCTTCACCAAAGGGTTCTTAGGACCCCTAAACAAAATCACCAAGAGGGCAAGACACAGCCCAAAAGTCAACAACCCTTCGGCCAGAAAACCAGTCTGCAAATCAACTTTCAACGAAGGTCCTTTCATGGTTTCCGTTAATTCCCTGGGAAGGAAACCCATAATTGCCTTCACTCCAATCACTCCACCGGCGGCCTGCGCCGGAAAACGCACGGCCATCGAAAGGAGGGACATGTCTTCCTTGAGACCGGCGGCGTAGAAAGCGACGGAGGCCGTGGGATTGAAGCTGGCGCCGCCGAGAGCGCCGCCGACCAAGGTGAAGATAAACATCATGAGGGTGACCACGATTGTGGTGATGAAGAAGACGGCCGGAGGGAGGGTCTGAACGCCGAGGAAAGCAGATATTTGGATGGTGAAAACCCTGAGAAAGGGCATGCTGAAAATCCACATGGATGTTAAAAGAGCGTCCGCCATGGCTGACTTGATAACTCCCATCTTCTTTAGCTCCCTCTAGGTTTTGCACTTTGCCCTTTCTTTTATGCTTGCTTTCTGGAAGAAGAAAAAAAAAACCACGGCCCGGTAACAAACAATTAACAAGATACCGACTACTGATCTTCGGTTTATGTGGGGTTTAGCAATTTCACGTGCTTTACCGGCCAAAATTTCCCTAAAATATTATTTAAGTAAGTTTATTATATACTTTAATATATCATTAAAAAGATATATTTAAATGTAAATTATTAATTTTGTTTTGTTTTAAATTTAAATATATCATTCTCTTTTTTATTTGTCAGCGTTTTGAGGATAAAGATATAAAAATTATTCTAGCTCCTAGTGTGGATTAAACTTAGGTTTCTTACATAAAATGTAAATTCCTCAACCACTAAGCTAAATCAAATACTTAGTTAAAATTCATCACATTTTGTATTTAAATTATATAATGATATATCCACAAAATCAATATTTTTTATGATTATAAGATTTGAATATAAGACATTTTAAATTAATAGCTGAAAGCTTAACCACTCAACTATAATGCAAATCTATTTTTTATATTGAACTTAATACTTACTTATATCATTATTAAATTAGATCATTAATTTCACTTTATTTAAAAATAATAAATAAATTATATATATATATATATATATTGTATTTTTAAGTAATATTAATTATTTATTTGAAATAATAAATTATCTGTTTAATTTTAAATATTATTATATGAAATCAAAGTGATAGTTAGATACTAAATGTGTAATTTAACCTAAATTTTAAATTATTTAAATTTAAAAAATAATATTTTTTAAGTAAATAATTAATAAAATTTTAAAAATTAAATAAATATTTTTATAATATTATAAATATGCTTTTATAATAATTTCATATAAATTTTATAAAAAATATATAAATTGTTTAATTATTTTTTTATTTTTAAATAAAGTGAAAATTATTTTTTTAATTTAATAATGATTTAAATATGTATTAAGTTCAATATAAAAAATAAATATTCACACTATAGTTGAGTGTCTAAGCTTTCAGTCATTAATTTAAAGTGTCTCATATTTGAATCTTATAATCATTGAAAAATATTAATTTTGTGGTGATACTGTTATATAAGTTAGATACAAAACGTGATGAAATTTATTTAATTGACTAGCTTAGATTAATGGTTGAGTGATTTGTACCTAAGTTCAATTCATACTATAGTAGCAAGAATGATTTATATTTATTTATCCTCGTAGGTTGAATCAAATAAATTATAAAATATTGATGGATAAAGAAAATTGTGATGTGGTAATTAAAAATAATAAAGAACTGGCATGTTATGCCGCATAAGAATTATCGTTATAATTTTAAAAAAATCGAAGTTTAGACACTAAAATGAAACAAAGTGATAATTTAGGTACAAAGCATATAATTTACTCTTTTAATATTTATTTAATAAAGACAATTTAATTAGTGGTGTGTTTCGGTGTGTCGCTTTAGTGATGTGTTGTGATGTGCGACGTATGTTGTAACATTCTCAATACCGAGTTAGTGATCAAATTGTAAAATTTTAGAATTTGATAATAAAAGTATAATAGTTGAATAGTTCAATGATTTATTTGGAAATATTTCTTGAAAGTTATTAGTAATTATCAAAAGAATTAAAGGGTCAAATGGTCATTTGACATGAAAGATATTTTTTTCCTTGATAAGAATGAATCACGTTGGGGGGAGAGTTATCTGGAAACTCTTTTCTTCTTCTTCTTCTTCTCCTCTCTTTTTTCCTTGTGTCCAAGCTAGAGCAAATGTGAGTTTTCTATTTAGTTGATTTTAAGGTTTGTTTATGATAATTAGATGATAACTAAGCTTAAGGAAAGCTTAAGTTATCTTATAATCAAAAGATGAAGAAGTTATGAAAGATTAAAGTGATGGAGTTTCTAAATGAATTTCTGGAAAAGAGTTGATAAGTTGAATTTGAAGTTAAATTTGACTTGTCATCAGCTTAATTAAGAGATATGAAGTGATAGAATTGAAATTAGAACATATTAAAAATTTGGGTATGATTATTGATTCCATATGAAAGATGGGATTTTGAGGTTTAAGATGAGATAAATGGATATAAATTGGTTTAAGTATGTGTATTTGAGTTAATAATATGAAAGAGGATGAAACATGAAGAATTGAAGCTGGAAATAATGAATTTTCATACTTGAATAGTGATTTCTGGGAAAAAATTACAGATTTCAAAATGGGTATCGGTACCCTAGGTAGGGTATCGATACCTCAGTTAGGGGTGTATCAATACCCTATAGAGGGTATCGATACCTACTTTAAGCAAGAAATGAAAATAACCTTTCTTTTAGTTTAAGAAATGAGAAATTAGGGTATATCAATTAGGATACTAATATGGATCCATGTATTACTATGTAGATATAAAACGTAATCCTGTTCCGGAACAATCAAAGAATTAGGATCGAATCAAAGCAAGGCTAAGGTGAGTGCAATTTAATTTGTACTTATGTTATCGAACGAATATTGGCTTGCGATGAGCCAATGATGGAGTTACTATGGTAAGAAATGACTCCTAAAATGTTATTTGATTTGTGATTCTTATATGTGCATGAATACATGAAAATGAGTATAGGATATTATATGTGACATGATCTACATGCTTACACGAATATGCAATATGTATTACATGTTATATGAAATGACATAGATGTTTACACATACACGTGGTACGTGACAGAAGAAAAGGTATATGTGATCACAAGAGAAACAACATGAGTACATGAACATATGAAACATAAGAATAATGCCCATGGTATATGATATGAGAGCTATTGGTATAGTTGGCATGCTAAGAGTTGAAGGTCTACGCGGTCCTTCGGGACATATACAGAGGTCTTTCGGGACAAATACATAGGTCTTTCGGGACAAATACATAGGTCTTTCGGGACAAATTTCACATGCCCCTAGTGGGACCCCATATGAACTGTGGTGACAGCAATAGTACACAATCTCAATGAACTCAAATACCTTAAGTTCTCAGTAATGTACATGGGCTTACAAAAGGTAAAAAAAGTGTTTGCATTATTATTATATGTTATCATGTTATTATTATTTACATGGAATCATATATGACATGATTGAATAAGTAGACGATATGTTCATATTTACATGAAATGCATTATTATTATATGTTATGCCTCACTAAGTCTATGACTTAGCGAGTAAGTGATTTACACGAAGGTACTGAATAACGAGAGGATCAAAGCTAAGCAACATAACAACATATCTCCACTTAAAAATCAGATCATAAGTAAATTATGCAGTATGTTTTGTTATGTAATATATAGGTTGGCATGTAAACAAAGTCGGTAAATTAAGTATGTGTGCTCTGATCGAGTTTTGGGAATATTTTAAACATATTTATGTAAATGGTAAATGTATAGTTATGAAAGTTTAAATTTTATGAGTTTTATATTAGTGGACCGAAATTATTGTAGCAAGGGTATCAGTACACTGTAGCAGGATATCGATACACCTGTAGCATTTTGGAAAATTTTTAGCATCGGTATTGTTCACTATATTGTTCATCATTGTTCACGGACTCGTATAGTACTATTCATAAAAACGTTTTTCTTCAAATTTGTTATAATAAAACATAATTTGATAGTATATTATTATATTTTCTTAATATAAGTCCAAACGTTTTGTTACTTGGTAAGAACATTGTTTTGAAACGTCAATGTGACATCTCGGACTCGTATCCGGGTCGGGTACGGGTTGAGGGTGTTACATATGTCGTAGAATTTTTCTTTTTTAGTAGTTAAAAAAATAATGGTGGCATTTTAAATATAAAATTTAAATAATTTAAATATTTAAAGGGTAAATTATGCATTTAGTATATAAACTATCAATTTTGATTTGTTTTAGTACCTAAACTTTCAATTTTTTTAAAATTTCATTTTAGTACCCTATCGTTAAAAACTTAACGTGTTTAGTACTTAAACTATCAATTTTGGTCCATTTTAATACATTTAACTTTCACTCTCTTTCAAAACTTAACGTTGAATTTTGAATGGGGTATTAAAATGAAACAAAAACTAAATTTTAGATATGTTTTTAAAAAATTAAAAGTTTAGATACTAAAACAGATCAAAATTGATTATTTAAGTAATAAACGCATAATTTATCCATATTTAAAATAACTAAAACCAAAATTTAACAAAATCTAACCCAAAAAATCAATTCACCGTTTTTATTACAATAAAAAGTATATTACCGGTAAGTATATTACAGAGTTTCAGTTTAGATTATTAATTATTAACGATGATATAAGAATAGAGATAAAATTTATTGTTTCGATAAGAGAGTGAAGTTATTTTTAAAATTTGAAATATCAACAGATTTTTTATTATTTTTAAATAAGATCAACATATTTATATGTCGATGTCTATTTATAAAATGATTATTTATTAATAATTTTTAGTACATTTTAAAATGTCTCAATGGAAGGTCATAAATTTCAGATATATTCGTTTCAACAATAATAGAACAATCAAAGAAATATATGAGCCTAATATAATATTTTTTAAATAACTAACGACTTGGTAGCTAAACAGTTTTATATAATTATACGTTTGGTTTTTAGTATTTATGTATTTCATTAATACTACTTTACACAATGAGTATAGTCAAGGAGTATTGATACTACTTTACATAAGGAGTATAGTCAAGGAGTATTTATACTACTTTACACAGTAATATCGGTATCATGAAACTCTAGTATCAATATTGATAAGCTCAATGGTCTTTAAAAGCTAGTTTATTTAATTATTACAAAGGAAATATAGATGCTCTTAGTTCGAGTACCGATACTCCATGTTTTTGGCTATTTTATTATGCAAAAAATCGATCCTCAACAACCTCAAAACATTCCCAACGGCTACAAATTCATTCTAACATATAAAAACAAGTTAAGAACACTTGAAAAAGGTTACAACACTTATCCAATCAATTAAGATCAAGAGAAAATCTGTAACATCCCAAAAAATAGGGATATTGACTAAAATGGA